ATTTTTTGCCGAATGTGGTGAGCCTATAAGACCAAATAGGGGAGGAGTCTGAAAATCTCGGGTGGAGGGAGGAGAATCTTGGGAGGGAGGTTACGGGTGTGAAGAGATTGGTTATTGTCACTTGTCATGCTATCTGGATTGGAGGAATTGATGGGATGAATGAGACCGAATGGTAGGCAGGACCTTAATGAATGGCAGGAACCTACTAGCAGAGGAGGAAGAAGAAGTAAATGAGCTGATCTAAGGAGGTGCGATAAGGATGATTGAAGATTTTCAGAAGGGCGAGGTCGACACCTATGTACGGCATATCAAGGCTGGGGTCGAAGCTGTATCGGAGGATGCGGAGAGTTTGCTAGTATTCTCTGGGTAAGTCTTTGTTTTGTCCCCTTCTATCATCTGCTTATCCCACTACTAATAAATACTTAGAGGTGAAACAAAAAGCGCTGCAGGACCTCTCAGCGAAGCTGAAAGCTACTACGTAACCCGCCTACCTACTTCGCCGATTTAATTCCCCAGATATGCGTCCGCAGTGACTAACGTTCAAACAGCGTCTAGCTCACACCCTGGATCTCCTAACCCCCTCCCTCCTCCCCAGAACAACAACAGAAGTTCACGCCCGAGACTCCTACCAAAATCTCGTATTCTCCATCGCCCGCTTCCACGAACTAACGAACACCTACCCATCTTCAATAGCCCTAATCTCCCACGCCTTTAAGGAGTCCCGCTTTCTGCACAATCACCTCCGCGCAATATCCTATCCAGAGGCTAACTTTAAATTCGTCGGAATCGACCCCAAAGAAGGTGTTGGCGACCTAGTCCTCAAGGGTGAAACGAGGACACGCCAAGTCTGGGATGAAGATTTATACGGGTGTAAGAGTGATGGGGAATTACGAAGGAAGCGACAAGGGCGGAATCCGGGAAGAAGATGGGATGGCGGGTACAGTGTTACTTGTCCAGAGTTGAGGGAGTTGTTGACGTATTGTCCCAGCGATGGTGTGAGCGAGTTTGGGAGGGAGTTGCCATGGAGCAAATCCACTTGAGAAACGGATGGAGAAGTAATTGTAACGAAAGTAATACTGGTGGGGGTGTTTTGTTCCTAGAGGGCGTTTTTGAAACTGGGAAATTTAGACTGGTTAATTTTTTCTTTAGTTTCAGTCTTAGCTTTCTTTTACTGTTATGCGGGTGTTATAATAATATTATACCGGGCGACTTCCTTAACAACACTCCCTGTATATATGTGTTTATGGAAACTAATATATTAATCACGACTACCGTATTACTCGTATTACTCGCTTGTCCTTACCTCTAGCGCGATGCCTAGGTCAGCTGGAGATTCCGGTGCCTGAGCCTTTGCATCATAATATGACTGCTGTACATTATCATGCGGGCATTTGTGTGTGATGTGTGATACTCACAAGGAGGAATACAACTAATATGATATGATATAACCTACTACACAGGTATATAACTCTAGGGAATTAGGGGTTGGACACTATCAGGACATACAAAAGCCTTACCTTGTCGTAACCTAACAACAGTGGTAACTTATAAGAGCGATGATCCCCCACAATGCACTTTGTCGGGGTATCGAGTGACCACTCATGAGGCCGCCACCAAATTAAGCCTAAAGGAGGACAGAGGCTGCTATCAGTAAAGGCGGCCTCGCGAAGAAAGGTGTCGTACTTGTGCAGTGTTTGGTAGGTGTCTGGTAGGGCTCTACACAAGCTATGATACCATAAATTAACTACAACTTCTCCAGGGGATATCTAAATTAGAATTTATGAGGTTTGAAGCACTGGTTTCACACTATGTTATAAGCTGACCCATAAAGTCCTTTAGGAGAGGTTTTTCAGTACTTTCCAGCACAGCTTTCGGCGTAGGTATTCGGTGGACTAGAGTGCCCGGCGTTGTGACTGCACGTACAGTGTCTGTGAGGGAGGGAGGAAATTAGCTTTCGGTCCCACTGACGGGCGTCCCTCGGGAAGCTATATTATTATTCTGGTTCTTGCAGTGTTTAGGGAGATGGGTTGTTATATTCAAATACGGCGCTGTTTGGTGAGTGTCAAGTTGGGGGGGGCTGGTCTCATTGGTAGAACTGATACACTGAAAAGTTGACTATATTCAACTATCCTTTGTGGAGGGTGAATAGATGACCTTTTGTAACCGTAAATTTCTGGGTTTCTTGACTTTAGTCATTGGTAACACCGCAAACATAATATTTTCAAAACTTCTGGATTTATCTGATTTTTTTTTTAAAGCAAGCAGGCTATATAGTTCGTGCAATTTTCAGCTGCAGCCCCTTGGGGTAGAGATACCCTGCAGTCAACCAAACGTTATAGTCGATAGGGAGACGGGTGGTTTTTCAGGAGGATCCGTGTCTTGGTACACTTAGCTCTGTGTGGGGGCTCCTGGAGGTGCTAGCCTGCTAGGCGAGTGACTGTATATGAGGAAATTGAGATTCAAACAACTCACAAATAAAGTGTCCAAATTTTTGAGTGAATTATTTCTACCCTGCAGACAGCACAGTCCTAATCACATGCTTTGTCTTCTGTTAGGTGCTGCTTCGGCTCTAAAAGAAACGGGTATGGTATCATAATATTATTATCATACTGGATCATAGCCACCAGAGAAACCATCAACCAGTTGTTCTCCGAGTGACATTTCATGCACACCTTGGTTCATCAGATAAGCAGGGTCAGCCCTCACCCTAAACAGTCACGCCAACCAATCCACACATCACCAACAACCTTGGTATTCCCGCAACGGCTAGCGCATAAAGAACAGTCTTGGCACCTCGCACAGAAATCAAACTGTTCACCCCTCCAACCCCACAGAAAGCACAAACAGTTCAACGACGTTAACGATCCTTTCCTTCAGCATTGAGACTCAGATCACGTCGAGAACGCTTGCTTAATTACACAAAATGAGTATGCCGCTACCTTCCCCCCCGGAATGAAACTTTAGGAGCTTGGTCTTTTTTTTTTTTGCTAATCCTGGATTGTTGGGAATAATTAGCTGAGCAGATGGTTTTGCGCGGAACCCTTGAAGGTATGAAATTTCCCTCTTCTTTTTTTGCCGGAGGATTACATTAGCTAGGGGGATGTGGTGAAGTAGAATTGGAACTGATTGGGATTTAATTGGCACAGGGCATAGTGATTGGGTTACGGTATGATCTTGGACAGACTTGATATATTGAATCGATCGTGTGAAATTGTGGGATTATTGACTTGTTTTTACACTATAGGCCCTTGCTACCTCCCTCGAGAACCCCAACATGCTCTTGTCTGCTTCGCGCGACAAGACCTTGATCATCTGGAATCTGTAAGCACCGTCGTGTTTCTTGACACTTAGCAGGGAGAAAACGGAGAGAACAGAGAGCTCAGAAGGCTAACAATTTGGTCTAGCACTCGCGATAGTGATACTGGCTACGGTGTTCCCAAGAGAAGTCTTAAGGGTCATTCTCACATCGTTTCTGACTGTGTATGTTCTCGACGTCAACTGGAGCTACAGATTGTTCTCTCTCGCTGACTCTTGACAAAGGTCATCTCTTCCGACGGCGCATATGCCCTCTCTGCTTCATGGGACAGGACCCTCCGTCTGTGGGAACTCTCCACTGGTCAGACCACCCGCCGCTTCGTCGGCCATGATAACGATGTCTTGAGTGTTTCCTTCTCTGCCGATAACCGCCAGATCGTGTCTGGGTCTAGGGACCGTACTATTAAACTCTGGAATACCCTTGGTGACTGCAAGTTTACCATCACTGATAAGGGGCACACTGACTGGGTTTCTTGCGTCCGTTTCTCGCCCAACCCTCAGAACCCCGTGATTGTCTCTGCTGGATGGG